TTTATTTATTTGAAAAGCAGAGATAGCAAGAGAGAAGGAAAGACACATAGAGATTTTTTTTTTTTTCAATCACTGGTAAACTTTCCAAATAACCACAATGGCCAGGGTTTGAACAGACTGAATCCAAGAGTCAGGAAGTTTATCCAGATCTTCCATGTGGATACAGAGGCAATCTTTCTGCTGTTTTCTCAGGCATATTAGCAAAGAGTTGGATAGGAAGCAGAGTAGCTGGAACCCATATGGGATGTTGGTGTTGCAGGTAACAGTTTAACCAATCTTGCCACAACACCAGTCCAGTTGGCCTTTTTCAAGAACATTTTTGGAGAATAAAGCTCCCAGTGAGATTGACTGGGATCTAGATTGAAACTGCATTAGGGAGATGAGCAGGGAGGGAATGAGCCTTCGACCTCCTCCAGTACACTGTGTACAAACATTTCACCTCACAATTTGCTTCCCAGAGAGACAAGCTGGTGATGTCCATGCTTCCCAGTCGGGATATATGTACCATCAGAGTGCTTAAATAGCTTGAATAATTGTGCCCATATTTTTATGCCCCAGAGGCGCTTAAATTATCCAATTGGAGGCTTATTGAGTTCAAGTTTCCTTGAAAAAGAAGACAGAATATTTGACATTTGGGATATAAAAAAGTTCTGCTCAGATCTTCATAAATGAAGAGTCTTCTTCCCTTTATTCTCCTTTACTAATTCCTTCAAAATCCCAATGAGCTGACCTGAAACCATCCTACAAATAGCACCTACCTCCTGAACATGAACCAGCCTTGATTCTCATATTCATCAGTGGGAGTTGTAACCCATCAGAGACCTGCCCACAGTTTCCCTGCTTGGCCCACTCCCAGTCCTGGATCTTGCCCCTTCCAGGTGGTTTTGTAGTCTAGCTTCACAGAATTTACTCCCAGTCCCAGCACTTGCCAGCTAATGCTGTTGCAAAGCCCAACCCGTCTGCTTTTAGTCTGGTGTATGCATGAACCAGTGGGTTCAGTTGGTTAGTCCAGCCTGGCTCTCCCCTTAACCCAGTCCACATGTATGCTCAACAGATATAGTCCTGTCTGGCCTGGTCTGCTCCAGATCCCAGTTCTCACACTCTCCAGTGGGAGCTGTGGCCCAGCAGGGGAGCCCCAATACTCACCCTCCCCTCTCCAGGTCTCACATATGCTGGTGGATTTGTGGCCCATTCTGGCATGATCTGGTATGGTCTGCCCCCAGTTCCAGCTCATGCTGGTGAGTGAAACAGCCTATCCCAGTTCATCCAGCCACCAGTCCCAGCCCTAACGTGAACCGGCTGGTGTTGCAACCCGATTCAGCCTGTCATGCACCTCATACTGATTCTCAGATCTGCCAACAGGTGTTATGAACTGGCTCAGCCTGGCCTGCCCCAAGACCTGACCCACATGTGTGGGTACCTTAACCTAGCCTGGCCTGGGCTGCTCCCAGCCTTGGTTCTTGTACTCATCTATAGGAATTGTGTCCTGACAGAGGAGTTCCCAAAGCTCCTCTATCAGGCCTCCTCCCAGTGGCAGATCTCACACATACCAGTAGGTCTTTTGCCCAGACTGACTTGGCCCACCTCATGTCCTGGAAAGAATAATGGTCTTGCCTAACTGACCCACACTCAACTCGGTTCTTATTGTCGGATGCTATGGCCCAGCTATGGCCCAGCTGCACCTGGTCCATGCCCAGACCCAGCTCTTGTGTGGTTCAGTGGGTGCTCAGACCTAGTCCAGCCTATCCTATACCCTCCTTGGTTCTCATGAGCAGCAGCAGGTGCTGACTCTAGCCCAGTCTGGCACACTCCAGACCCAGTCTTCACCCATGCTGAAGGGCACTGTAGTCATGCCCAGCCTAAATTGCTGCCCCCATTCTGGCTCTTGTGCTCACCAATGTGAACTATAACCTAGCCAGGGCGTCCTCTTAGCTCCCCAGCCAGGCCTGTTCCCAGACAGATCTTGCACGTGCCAGTGGTTGCTCTGGCTCAACTCGGCATAGCCCACCCCTCGTCTTGACCTTTGCCATCAGATGCTGCAGCCTGACCTGTCCCAGCCTGCCCCAGTCCCAACTCCCACTGATGGGTGCTAGCCCTAACCAGTCTGCACCAATCCCTGGTTCATGCAAACCAGTAGGTAGGATAGCTTAGCCTGGAATGACCTATACTACAACCTGGTTACTGCATATGCCAGTGAGCTTAGGTTAGACTAGCCCTGCCTGGTCTGCCACCCTCCAGAACCAACCCACACACTTGCCAACATGTGGACTATCTTGCTTGACCTTACCAACACCCAGACCTGAATCAAATATTCACTAGCAGGAGCCACAGCTGATCAGTGGAATTTCTCAAGTTCCTCCACCAGGCCCACTCTCAAACTCACTCCCAGACCAAGATCTCACATGTGCCAGTGGGTGTTAGGCCCTTATGCAGCATAGTCTTCTCCCTCCATCCCAGCCTTTATATGAGCTGGTGGATGTTGTGGCCTGGCCTGCCCCGTATTCTATTGTTGAGTGCATCTGCAGGTGTTGCAGCCTGGACCAGCCTGGCCTGTTCCCAGCCCCAAAACCCACGACTGTCGAAGGGTTCCCTGGACATGCCTAGCTCAGCCTGTTACCATCCCAGCTCTTAAGCAAACCAGCAGAAATTGCAGTTCCACAGGGGAAGGCCCACATATCCCCCACAAAATCTGCCCCCAGACTTGATTCTCTTGTGTGCTGGTTAGTGTCATGGCCCAGCCTAATGTGACCCATCCCTGTTTGGACACTCACTGGCAGGTACTATGATTTAGCCCTGCCGGTTAGGCGCCCCTGCCCTAGCTTTTGTGTGCACTGGTATGTGGTGGTCAGCAGTGGCCAATGCTAACCAGCCTAACTCAGGTCTCCCATTTGGGAGGATGCATCAGTCTAATCTAGAAATGTCCTTTGGCTTCCCCCCTCTAAACCACTCAGTCTCAGTCCCCTTGCTTACTTGCAAGTACAGTGGCCTTGTCGGTGAAAATCCCCCAGAAGTCATTCCTCACCTGCAATGTACTCCCTTAGCAGTTCTCCCTCCCTCATATTTTCTTACGCCCTTCTCTGATCTATCCATAGTCCCTGTGTCCAGGAGCACATGAGTTCCCCAGAACTATTTCCCAAGCCCAGTTTTCTGGTGCGATGGCATGCTGGCCTGGAGCTCTTCCTCCCACTAGAGACAGAGACCCAAGATCATAGACAGGTTTCCAGACCCAGTCCTCTGGCACATGTGCAGGTCGGGGACCTTACCTCTCCACTCATCTTGGACATAAGACCCCAGGCACAGCCCACAGGCACACCATGCTATTCTGGGGCCATTTCCTCCCCTCTCCCCACCTGTCCTTGGGACCAAAATACATGCACGATCTCACACCCTGCTCTGACAACCCCCAGCATGAGCAAAACTGAAGCTGTTGGTGGCTCCGGCTCCACAGAGGCAGAAGGAAGCCACTAGCCTACATATGTTTTTCTTATCATTACCTTCTCCACTTCCCAATTATCAATGCTCTAGTTATCTTCCTTGGTGCCTCTTGTGTACACCACAATAGAGCATAATGGGTTCTTCCTTCTCCCCCCACCCAATCTAGTTACTCTTCCTGCAGAACTTCTAGTCATGATGCTTCTCCCCACTGAATCAAAACTTGCAGTGCCTGTTATTAACTGGGGTCATCACACAGTACAGTTTGCCAGGAGCAGTGTTATTCTGAATCTGTAGTTCTAGGAATAATCATTAACAGTGCCATATGTTACTCTACAAAGTTTTCTAATGTTGGTGTTGAAGAATTACCCGTTCACTTATTACCTCGGCTTTCTTAAGGAATATTGACTCCATTGACCTTGACCGCTGGCCTTAACGTTCCGTCTGAGTTTCCCCACCACTTGGCAACATAAACACTGTAATTTCCACATACGCATCAACCCTAACATATTCAGATAGCCTTCCACTCATCTTGTTAAGCACACCATGATTATCCCCCTATGTAGGCATTTTTCTCAAGCAATTTTTATCTTCTTAGACTGAAGCATCTTCTGCAGATGTCCTCCATTTGTGCACTCACCATGTCCCAGTTTAAGTTCCATCTTTCCTGAGTCTGAAGCCTCCGTATAAACATCTTGTCAAGCATCCTACAGCCTCACTTTGAGTATCCAGTGTCTGTAAGGTAGGAACGGTCAGTGTTGGAAGACAAAGAAGTAAGATTTAAGAGAATGAGAAGGCCCTAAAGTTGTTGCAAGAGGTCATAGAAGAGACTTGGGGTAAGCATGAGGCTGGCGAGAAATGGGATGGTGGCAAGTTTCCTGCTGGTGAAGTGACAGCAATATGTGAAGTTTGGAAACCAATGTTGAGAGCAGGAATCAAAAGACTGGAATGGATTTTCTGGTCTTGTCATTTTCATCCCGAATTTTAGGATATTCACCCAAGCCGAAGGACCATTCCTTAGGAGCATAGTCAGCTCCTTCCTCTAGCATCATGCCTCTCATCTGCACTGACATCTACCTCCTTACCCTCCTTGGATCCACCCCTCAAACACACACACATACACTGCTTACTGTAATAAAATATACATTTATTTTATATATTCTTAAACTAATATTTACTTAGATTTAACATTGGGCTTCACATCTTAGGCTTACAAGAGCAATGCCTTCCTAAAGAGATAGTATATTATATTGTGAATGTTTTCCAGGATCCTTAAAGATTCCAGGGAAATATAAGCAAGGAATTGCATTGCCCACATTTGCCAGGGATTGAGTTGGGGCTCAGATAAGACAAGGTACCTACTCAAAGCTTTATACTTCAACACAACAAATATTTGTTAGAATAATATTCATGATGTTTAAATACATCAATAACTTAAAAACAGTATATTTTAAAAAGCACTAAATACACATTGTTCCTTTTAGAATGAAAATGTGGGAATCATCTGAATTTATTTTAAAAATTACTGAAGCATTTCTCAAATTCCAGTTGGGTCTCAGAAAAGGTGATTATGACTTTGAAGTTCTGGATTTTTGGTCCAGGGACTTTATGGCATCCTGGACCCACTTCTCCTTGGGATCAACACATATCTCCTTGGCCAACTTGGTCTTGAGACTGTGGGGGAAGGGGAGAAAAGGAAAGAGAAAACAATTAGGAGGACCTGGACATGCCCGTAGGCAAAAAATATGAGTGATTTTTTTTTTTTACTATGAGCATTTATGGATTAGGTTATAGAGGTCAAACTATCTGAGACCATGACTCCAAGTAATTCTGAAACTGTCCTTCACTCAGAGCCCTAGGAATGAATCTTCAATTTGGGTTTGGTGAGTTTTATCTACTTACATTACAGCTTTCTGGGGGCATTTGCTGTTGCTGATGTTTCTGTAGCTCTCCAGTCTTTGAGTGGGGATCTTCTTCTTAGCCATAGAAAAACAGCAGGTAGCTGGAACGAAAGCTGGATTTTTTGGGAAAAAAAAGAAGAAGGAGTGAGCAGATATTTCAAATCTGATTTTGGAAGGGGAAGGGAGGAAGGAAGTTTGAGTGGCAGTACAACATGCTCATCAAGAAGTTCTGGGCCTCTGCCTCTCACCTTGCGTTCTCCCTGGTGCTGAGGGAGCTCCTCATTAGTGGTTCAAGGAGGAAAGCTTGGGCAACGTGATCTCTCTCTCTCTCTTTCTCTCTCTCTTTCTTTTTTTCTTTCTCCCTCTCTCATTCACTCTCTATAAATCTAACTTTCAAATAAAAATAAATACATCCTTTTAAAAAGCAATTTTTGATACCACAGTATGCTCTAGCATTATTAGCACAGATAGATTTCATAGAAGGAAGTAAGCAAAATGAAGTAAATGAATTTATAGAACAAATACTTAGATGTTTCTCCCCAAGTAAAAGCAAAATAAATCATCCCCAGAGATTCCCCTTGGGGCCCTATCACCTTCTGCTAACCACTGTCTCTGAAAGATATTCAGAGACCAGCAAAGATACTGGCTTCCAAACCAACAAATTGCTTTTCCTTTTCCACTGTCAGAGAAGCGTTCACCAGCCCACAATAGGAGGAGGGCTTGAATCTGAGTGCCCCATCCCTAACTCTGGCCATGGGTGTGTCCAGCATCCTTCTCAAATCTCAGGTCAGAGCAGAAGCCTGGGGACTGGCCTAGGTGGCCCAAGCTTCTGATTCTGGCTCCTCCCCTGACTGCAGGCATATCAGCCATTTCACCTGTGATGTCTGCGTCCCACCTCCCAAAGGCAGAGTTTGCAGTGAGTCCCTGAAGCATTGACCTGAGAGTTTCAGAGCTGGCTGGCTTTCTCTGCGGGAATTAGGGACCTTACCTGGCTGAGCAAGCACCTGGGAGCTGAAGGTAGCAGCTATGAGCAGCAAACAGAGCAGTGTTGAAGAGACCATCATGCTGAAGGTGAGCAGATGAGCTTGGAAGGCAAGGCAGGGGTTTCTGGATGAGTCTTGGTCTCTGTGAGTGTTTGATTATTCTGCCTGCCTTTATAGGGAACAAAGAGGGTGTAATATTCCAAGGAAACCTTTGCTTAAGCAAGGTCATGGTCAGATCAGATGGAGTGGAGTCTGAAATGCTTATTAAACTCCAATTCTTAGAAAAATAAACAGATGATGGAGGCCAAATTAGGGGTGGAACTTGGAACCTCTCTCATTTATTCTGCACTTGGATTTAGAACGGGCTGCAGGATGTTATGACGAAATAAACTAAAACTTTTTCTGGGCAAGGGGGAGCAAAGCAGAGAATCTAAGGTTATGGTGAGGTTACGTGAGCTAAGAACCTTCCCCGGTGCCTCTGTTCTGATTTTGGAGTTCAGGCAGGAACCATAAAGCTTCGGCAAGACTCTCACCCAAAGGCAGAGAGAGCTCAGCCATTCTGAAAACAGCTGGGTCTCTGAGAACCAGGAAGGGAAACACGAAAGGAGTTCATTCTTATAACTTAACCCAGAGGTCACTGAACCTAAGTGTTCCAGTATGTCAGAAATGAAGAATTTCAAAAGACCTTGACTTCCTATGCATTTCATAACTACTTGCGTAGTTTCAAACATCCTCATACAAATGGAATTCAGACAAACCCCTGCACATCAACTATGTATAGTGGAATGGCTGTAGCAGAATAAGTAGCTCGTTCTTTCTTCCTTCCTTCATTCATTTTTTTTTTTTAATTTATTTATTTGAAATGCATAGAGAGAGAGAAAGAAAGGGGCAGAGAGAGAGACCTTCCATTTGCTGGTTCACTCCTCAAATGGCCTCAATGGCCAAAGTCTGAAACTAGGATTCTGGAGCTTCTTCTGGGGCTCCTTTTGGATATAGGGGTGCATTAACTGGGAGCTGAATTGGAAAGGAGCAAGGGGGACTCAAACCAGGGCTCAGATGGAATCGTTGACGCCACAGAACAACTGCGCCATAGTGCCAGTCCCTATAGACTACGCTCTGCTGGTTAAGATGGAGATCATCATCATGCTTACCTTAGAGAATCATGGTGTGAATTAATACATGTAAAATTAGGGATCTGTCCAATCTCTACAGATGCACAATAAATGAAGTTAATATTTATTATTATCAGAAATGGGCCACATTTTTGTATGGGGATGCTGGAAAGGCACTCCATATCTATGTAGCTGACTTCCTCCATGGCTCCTCCCAAATTCTTCATTGCTTCCCAGTAAAGACAGGCTACGATAAGAACGGTTCCTTGGAATGTTCCAATTGTGCACAGAAGAAAGGCAAAATCTCAGAAACTAACAAGGCAAGACAGTTGGAATGAATGCTCTTGGCCTCCGAAATTCTTGGCAATCCTAGCTGAGTGATGGTATTTCTTTCGTAGGAAAACCTTTCTTAAAATATATATATATTTGCTTTATTATTTCATGATACAGTTCTGTAGGTTCTGGGAATTGCCCACCCCCCTCCCCAAGTCCCCACATCCCACTGATTTCTCCTATGTCGTTGATTTAGTACAGTCTTTCATGAAGAGTCGTAAGTCCATCATCCTGCTATTTAATTGTATCCCGACGTTCTTACAATACTTTAGTAAGTTGAGGGGCTCTCCTAGCTAGTGACTTTACATTTTAGTGTTGCCTCCTTGGCTTCATATTTATTCTAAATGCAAGGAACCTCAGCAGAGATAGATGAAATAATTTTTCAGACATCCAAGTTCAGCAGCTGTTCTGTCCATCCAGGTATTAGATGTCTCTAGTGAGAGATAGAAGCTCTACTGGCTCACTTTTCTTCTGTGTGCTTGTTGGCTGCACATTCAGTGGAGACCTAAAGTAGAGGCACATAGTTGCATATGGCCTGGGACCAGTTGAATGAGGAGACTTGGTCAAATAGGACCCTGAGAAATGGATAAAAAGCAAAAGCTTATGATTGTGACACTGGGACCCAATATGGCTCTCAGTTCTAGTCCCAGATGCTCCACTTTTTTCCCCTTAGATTTTATTCATTTTTACTGGAAAAGCAGACCAGATTTTATAGAGAGAAGGAGAGTCAGAGAGAAAGATCTTCTAGCTGCTTGCTTACTCCCAAGTGGCCGCAATGGCCAGAGCTGAGCTGATCAGAAGCTGAGAGACAGGAGCTTCTTGCAAGTATCCCACATAGATACAGCTCCCAAAACTTTGGGGGTGTCCTCCACTGGTGTGCCATACCATAATCATGGAGCTGGATGGGAAGTGGAGTAGCCAGGACATGAACTGGTGTCCAGTGCTTGCAAGATGATGATTTAATCAACGAGCCATCATGCCAGGCCCATCTGCTCCACTTTGGATCCAGCTCTCTGCCTATAGCCTGGGAAGCAGTGAAAGACAACCCAAGTACTTAAGCCACTGCACCCACATAAGAGACCTAGGGTTAGTTTCTGGCTCCTGGCTTCAAATCAGCTCAGCTCTGGTTGTTTCAGCCATTGGAGGAGTGAACCAGAACTCCACTCTACAGCTTTGCCTTTCAAAAAATATTAATTAAAAACAATTTTAAAAATTAAAACAAAGTCTTTACATTTTAAGTATTTCCAAAGAATGTTGAGTGATCAGAAGAAAAGATGCCAGGAATTATGACTCCTGGCCTTCTTTTTTTCTTTTTAAATTCTGCTACAGATTTCTTCTAATACTGTGGAGCATTGGGTAGAATTTAATAAACACTGATATTTATTTTATTCCTAATATCTATTTTTTAGAAAGAAAGAAAAAAAGTTTGTGAAAGCTTAGGGTAAATGACAAATCCCTAAAGGCTGAGCTGATTTGAGAGCCCCATTTATTAATGGTCTGGCCTGTTAGGTCTTAGCTGTATTATAGCTTTTGTCTCAGTTTTCCCATATCCAAAACAGGACCACATTAAGTCTGCTACCTCTCCACGCCAAGGATTACTGAAAACATGTCTTCAGGTTGTTGTCACTCTTTGAGGAAAATTACCCCAAGCTATGTATCTGTATAAAAATTCTAACCATAGATCTAGAAAATAAAAAGTTATCAGCATCAGTCCTAATCTACTGAATCTATTCAGGACTTTGTACTATGTCTTTCACATGGGTTGATTTATCTAACCTTCCAACAAACCCACAAAGTAGATGTTCTAATTCAACTCATTTAAAGTTACACACACACACACACACACACACACACACACAGGGGCTTGGCATCTGACACTGTGGATAAGGTACAGCTAGGGATGTTGTGGTGGTTGGGTACCGTATCCTCAAGAGCGACATCACTCTTCTTTGACCTGAGAGTCTGAGATTTCGCAATGATGGGTGCTTCTGTCAGATAAGGACATAATCTCTGCACTGAAGATGTAAATTATTTTCCTCTTCTTCATACTTCAAATTTGAAAAAAAAAATAAAAATGATAAGGTTCTTGTGATCAACACCCTTATTCGTGGAAAGGAAGGTGGCAGATACCAGTGGCTCTTGCTCTAGTTCTCCTGCCATCTTCTGGGCAAACATAAAAGACCAAGCATTGATGAGGGAAATATTTGTGTCTCTTGGACCCTGGTTTTTGGTTGTCCCTGAGAGATCCCTTCTTTTCCATTTTCCCTCTTTTCTACTTCTGGATTGAGAGCTATGCTTTAGGGGGACTCTATGGTATCTGAAGTTTGCTTATAACAAACTGTAGCACTTGGAGTTTGTTTTGAATTTTCAGTGAATTTTGGTCCAGACTCACTTATTTCCTTGACAGAAGCATAGGAGTATGACCGGTATATATGTACATGGCCAGTATATATGTATATGACTAGTATATGGCCAGTATATTTGTATATAAGCAATATACATATGTGTATATATACATATATAAATCAATTGCATATATTATATACATATACATATATACACATATATATTAATCACACACATATATATTAATCAATTCAGTGTACCAGCAAAGCCACAGACCAAATTTCCTTCTAGACTACTTCTCCCCATTCTGTCTGTCTCTCTCTCTCTTCATCCCTCCCACCTCCTTCGATGAAACTATTAGGCTTGAAATGTCACTATTTGCCCCAAGTTCTTTCATCCAACCATGAGTTTTTCCCTGGACATTTATTGCTGACTTTCTTTTTCATCTTTAAATATAGTACATAGTACTATATTTAGAAGGACATAGTACTTCTCCGTGTTTGGGACTTAGAAACAGACAGTGTTATGATTTATTTTCTAAAGTCTCACATGTTGGATGCTTGACTCTCTTAAGAGCTAGTGAGAACTTTAAAAGGGGGGAACCTAGTAGGAGGTCTCTGGGGGTGTTGCCCTTTAAAGGAATCAATATGGTTCTAATGAGAATGTTTATATAAGAGAGAGCCTGATACCTGACTCAGCGTGTGGTCTCCTGTCTTGCCAAGGGGTCTCTCCTCTCACACTCTCAACTGTGATGCAAAGTAGTCATGGAGGTCTTGAGCTGCAATTTGGACTTTCAATTTGCAAAACTGTAAGCTCAATAAGCCTCTTTTCTTTATGAAGCATCCAACCTCAGGCATTTAATTATAGTAATGGAAAGGGAACTAGTACAGATAACTTTTCCAAGAATGTGTGTGCATTTTTTAAATTTTTGAACTTTATTCTATTTCATGAGTGAGCTTTCCTGAACTTATCTGCTTCTGGCAAGTGGAGATAAAGACACCTAAAACATCACCGTTGTGTAGTTTCAAACACTTTCCAAGGAGCTGCAATTTCAGCAGATAAGATCTAAAAGTTATGGTATTTTGTGCCAAGGATCTCCATCTTTCCAACCTAAGAAATCCATTTTCTCACTGCCTCTTACCAAATAGTGGTCAAAGCTACAAATTTCTTCCGGTTTTTAATGACATCAATGATTATGGTCTTCTTCTATTAAGCAGGATTAGACTGGGCTCCAAATATCAGCAGATCAATACAACAGGTGTGTACTTCTCACATCACAGTAGGCCAGGT